AAAAGCTTTCATGGCCTAGTGGTAAGGAGCTGTGTTGCCAACTCAAAGGCAGGAGGTTTGAACACATCTGCTGCTCTGCAGGAGAAAAATGGCTAATCTCCTCTCGAATGACTGTACTGCCTCTGAAAACCCATCAGAGGGTCAGCTATGAGTGGGTTCTGACTTGATGGTACATAATAACAACAACATGCATTAAAAAATTAAAGAAATATTTCCAGATAAACTAAAATGTCTTTAACACAATTACGAAGTAATAATAAAGTTTTGATGTATGCTGCAAAGTTACAGAAGTTGGGCCATGGATATATAAATAGAAGAATATTGTTTAACTGTATGTGGTGCATATGATTTCATTGCAAGATTAGTTTGAAGTGCTATGATTCAACTATCTCCTTCCTTCAATCTTAATGCAAAACTTGGCCATATACAATCGAGATGAAAAACATTAAGGCTCTTTGTTTAAGGAATAGCAACATTCACTGACATCCGAGCAGATATATGCACACCCATGTTTATCACAGCTTTGTTCACAATAGCAAGGAGTTGGAAACAACCTAAGTGCCCACCAACAAACAAATAGATAGAGAAGCTGTGGTATATTCACACAATGGAATACTATGCTGCATTTAAAAAACAGGAACTCATGCAATATTATTCAAAATGGGTGACTCGGGAGGACATTATGCTGAGTGAAGTATCTCAGTCACAAAAGGACAAATACAGCATGGTGCCACCACTGTAAAACAGGACTGACCTCGGGGTTGCGGGAAGACTGGGAAGATGGGTTCAATAATGTATACTGCATTGAAACAGATGAGGGAGAAAACTGTTTAAGAGGAATATGTGATTAGGTATTTTTGTCATGACAGGAGTCCAGAGTGAAGGATGCATAGTAGAATGGACCTGGGGGGCGGGGGGGGGGAATGTAAAACAATGAAAGAATTTTTCTTTTACTTTTCCAAGAAGGTAGTGTACTAGGGGGGAAAGGTTTGGAGGGGAGAAAAGTGCAACAATGAATGAACGGAAATCCAAAGTCTATGTAAATTTTCATGGAAATTAATAATTGTTGTTGTTGTTATGTGCCGTCGAGTCGTTT